ACGTGTCTTCTTTCCTACTAGATATCGTAACACGCGACATGTGTCATACGAGTTACGTAATATATTCTTTTTAGCTTCTCTCGAGTGAAATTTCAGCCGAGAAATCAACGGGCAGCCGTGTTGTGTGCTTGAAAATTCGGCTGATCTTTCTACTCGCGCAGAGCGAATTCTTCACTTCGATATTTGCGGGCGAGGCCGGAAAACGCGGGGAAACGTAAGCAGTAAGCAAATTGACCAACTACAGTCGATTATTCTCCTTACACAGGGAAATAGGTCTCAGTACGTACGACTGGCTGACGATCAGACGAAAGTTCGGTTGTGTTAAAACTCGATCGAAGTAATCGAAAATAATTGACCGATAGAAAACCTCCTGCAGAATCTTTCTATTTCCGCACAACCGAATTTTCCAATCAATTCCTGCTTTTTCCAAATAACAGAAAATTTGGTCGAATTCAATTCAATTATAAGAATTGTTTTCTCCGTGTACGGTCGAAAAATAATCGACTACGATCAGTCAGTTTTCCCACTGCTTAAATCTTACTGCTCACAGTTTTCTATCTGCTCCCGAACTGAGTATGTTCATTCGAAATTCAAGAGCGAACGTACCTGACGTATTCCACCGTTACAGGGTCAAATTCACTTTAATCGATCGAAACGTTCACTCGTATGAAGTCAGAATCCAATTTAAGCTTGAATGAAACGGTCACTTTTGCGTTTCTCCGCCGAGTGATGGTATATTCACCATTCACTATTCCTTCGAGCGAATTTTCACTTGTTCCGAGTGAGATATGTTCCGAGTGAGATATATTCAAGATATTTGGATGATATTATATTGAATTATACGTCATTATGATATATTATATAGAGATATTCATAATTAACCAAATATTTCAAAGTGACTTCGAAATGATGAATATTTAGAAGTCTATAGACGAAACTTATTAGTTCTCAAGCTATTTATATCATTCGAAGATTTAAAAAAAAAAAAAATATATATATATATACACTGTAAGAAATGTGTTAAATTTGACATATTTCGTGTATTTCAAATCATCCACTCTCATTTATGTGTTAATTTAACATACAGCAATATGTTAAAAAGTAACACGCATGATATGTAAAAAATTAACACAAAAATTTAACATTTGAGTGCCGTCAAGAATCACAGTTAGTGTAAAATTGATATACAATGAATTACTTCAACATTTGGGAAAAATAATGATCAATGATTTGGTGAAATGAAAATGTTAGATTGACATAATCTATGTGTTAAAAATCCAATCTGTATATAATATAACACATAATAACTGTTATAATAAGGAAAGTAACACATTTTAGGTATTGGCTTTAACATATAAAATATGTTAGAGCAATAATTCATGCATTTACATATAAATTGTGTTATTTTAACACTTGAAAATAGTTAATCTTAATTTAACACAAGAAAGTCCAAGTAAGACAACAACGATATGTTAAATTAACACATGTCCGTGTAAAAAATTTAACACAAAACTTTTTACGCATAAAAAATTTTAACAAAAATACGAAACGTTTTTAACTGTGCGATCATCAATTTTCTTCAATGGAAATTCCAATTTTTTATTATATCATCTTTTTCGACCAATTAATTTGAACAACTTTCGCCAGAAATATTTTTTATTTGCCTAATATATTTTGAGATATTTAACGAAAACTTGATAACTTTTTCAACATTTAACCTACGATATCTCGCTAACTATTTGTCGAAAGAAGCAATAATACTAAACTTTTTTACTTTATTTAGTCTCAAAAATATATTGCTACATTAGTACCCTAACTTTTGTTAACTTATTAATCTTCGAAAATTACCAAATTATATATGTATATATATATAATTATTAATAACTATATTTAATAACTATTACGATTTTTGCAAAATGCTATTTGATTTTTCTTCTCAGTTTGACCTGATTAATCTTCACAATTTTTCGTTTCCAAAAAGTCCTGGCCTATATATATATACAGATTGGCCAGGACTTTTTGGAAACGAAAAATTGTGAAGATTAATCAGATCAAACTGAGAAGAAAAATCAAATAGCATTTTGCAAAAATCGTAATAGTTATTAAGTTACTAATGATTGAAAATGATCACATCTAGAGGCTCTCTTAATTAATAACTTGAACAACTTATTTGCAAAATGGTAAAGGACTTTTCTTCTCAGTTTGATCTGATCAATCTTCACAATTTTTCGTTTCCAAAAGATCCCGAACACTCTGTATATATATTGAAAGTTTTCTTTTTCTTTAGATTGATATAAAATGTAATACGACAGATCGAAAAATGTGATTTTTGTGATTCGATCTTCATTTTAAGAAATTGCGATTTCAATCTTCTCGTTCACCCCGATATTGTGACAGGAAATAAAAAATATATCGGTTGGTGATGTACAAATGTATTATTAATCAATGATATAATTAATTGAGTACCTTGCTCAATTAGCACACGGAGGAAACACTGCTTATATACCGCGCATGGTTCAAGCTGATGAGAAACTAAGGAGAACAAAAGTTTTGTATATACTCGATTTTTCACGAGTATCCGTGATATTTAGCAGCTGCTACTTCGCATCCTGCAAAGTCACGTTCCGATAAAGGGGATCGCAAGTTAAATTCTCCGTCATGAATGAATAGGCGGGCAGGCAGGCAGAAGCCGAGTCATCGACTGGAGCTACTTGTCAACTGAATTTATAGCGGATACTTAGGATATAAGACAAGCATCTTATTTTCATGAAAAAGCCGTAAAGTTCCTAGTCCGTCGAGCTTTCGCCACGCCCATAACATACGGGTGATGATTCTACAAGCACAAAGTACTCACAAAGTTTATACGCTGCCGCGTTACGGAGAAGTTATGTGCCGAGAGCCCCCGGGGAAAATCATATTTCTACACGTATTCGCCGGGCGCTCATGTTGAAGACATCAAAATAATCCTTTTAAACAACGACAGGGGCTATATACCCTTGGGGTTGACGTTACACTTATTCTTTCAGACTTCATAAAAGTGTGTTACATCTGGGGTAAAATTTTATTTTATATCGAGTATCCTGTTTCCGCGCGACTGTTCGTCACGTCTTCAAGATTACATTTCAGCCATTCGGCGCGATAATTTTTATATGAAGCTGCCTATAACGCTGCAAGATGTCTAACGATAAGCGCGACATTCGCGGTGTGATTGTAAATCAAGTCAAATTGAACAGGTTATTTGATATAACAGGTTATTTCAACGCTAACTTCTTTTCTTAAATGGAAAGAAATATATTTTGTTGCAGGATTTGAGGAAATATAACATTTTGCATGCGAAACTCTCTTCTTATTTCTTCAATCTTTTTCACTAAAAAATTTTAGAGAAATTTAAAATGCGTGAATTGTTTGTAACCTTATATAAACATGCATGTGTATGCGAGTGCGAGTGAGGCAAAGGGTTTTCCCTTTTATAAATAATTTTCAAAATAGCCACTATTTTACTCCATACAGAAATAAATTCAGCTCTTGAATTCCCGTCGTACGATTGATTTCAATTGACTCATCTTCAAAGTTTTATTTACTTTATGCTACTTTATTTACTACTAAGAATGTTTATATTCTATAACAGAGCTGGACACGATCTGCACATTTTGAGCGAAATTCAATAATTTATATATATATATATATATATATATATATATATACGCATACACACATACGTATATAACGCATAAACATATATATTTTAAAGTGATTATTAAACGAGGAAACAATTTTAATAATAATGTGACGCCCCAGCTGATTTCTTATACAGCGACGGGCCTGAGTGCACCGCGATCGTCGCTCCGGCCACTAAGCGCGGAGTGGTGCGAGGGGGACGGTAGGCGTCACCTACTGAATTTCATCCGAAATGTGCAGATCGTGTCCTGGGGCTGTATTCCGTACTCGCGTACCGATACTTGTCGGTGTCGTTAGCAGTATTGCGCAGCTTTTTTGTTATATGAAAAACCCGCGCAATGTCGCTAACGATAGCGACAACTGTCGACATGCAGGTACGGAATACGGCCCCAGCTCTGTTCTATAACAACTGTAATCGTTCTTTTTTCTCTTTTCCTTCCTGCACTCGCACACAGATGCATATTCATGCAAGATTACAAGGCATTCACGCATTTTGAGTTTTTCTAAAATTTTTTAGCGAAAAACATTAAAGAAGGAAATTCCGAAAAGTTTCGAATGCAAAATTTTATGCTTTTTTAAATTCTACAATAGCAAAAGACTTCTTTTCACAGAAGGAAAAGTTGATTTTGAAATAGCCCTGAAAACTGACAGCCGTATAATTTTTAAAGTCACCGTCATACATCCCCGTAAAAACCCTACAATTTTTATACTCAATATTTTTTCTACAATATATATCTTAGAAAAAAATTTAGGTAGAAATGTTTCAAACTGAACTCTGAATAATGAAAACACCTGAGTGCTGTCACGTTTCTGTAAATTAAGTCAAACTTTTAAGAACAAAAGAAAAACGTTATTTTGTGTTTCCTCTGCGAGCGACGAGTACAGGTTTAAGACATTGCCTCGCGCGCGATTATTTGCTAATTTTCCTCAATTAATAACTCAGAATTTTACATGGTCTGCAAAATGGTAGAGAACCTTCTTCTTCAGTTCGATATAATCCACAAGCACACGACAGCAGGCGTCATCATCGCAGAGCTTTTCCATCACATCGCACATAATCACTCGCCAATCTTTGATCTTTAACCGCTTCTTTTATCGCATTTATTTCTAGACACCATAGTGCTATTTTACGACAGGCTGAAGCAATTTGCACCTGTCATGTCTAAAATAGAATCCAATTTTATAGAGGCGTCCTTTCACTCACGTGAACTTTCTCCTCTCGTGAAGGAAGAGACAGAGGTGTCATGGGGCGCAGCAGCGGGGCGATTATTGATTAAGAAAGGTGATAAATCGTGCGCGCAACATGCACAGCGTATACTTACTGGTAGCGCTGACAGCCGGTCCGATGACCGAGTGCTTGGGGTTCCCCGTAACGGCCCCTGGGACGACCTTGTCCAGCTCTGAAACACATTATTGTAATTATCCCCGGAATATATACAGTGCCGTTAATTACAACGGGGAATCGTGTACGTGCAATGGACCGCGGCCAATCTACCTTAGCACAAAGGCCCGGCCTGCATGATTCATCGCCTCGTAAATACGTAAAGACGTCAGCGCGCACTTTCCCGCTCAAGTGAGCGCGCAACAAAGGATTAAGACGAGACACATTATGTCGTAATATTGATTAATGTCGGCGCTGATCGAATCTGCGAAGGTATCGCCGACAATTAAAGGGATATATCGAGCCAAGGTACGAAATTCACTCCTCGTTTCGCAAACAATTTCACGTCACGTCCGTTTATCGTCGCATTGCATATCCGTTAATGGCAAAGTTGCGAGGAGCAGAAATAACGACAGGTAAATTCGATGAACGGCATGTAAAAGGAGTCCAATGCACCCGCGATTACCGGGCAAGCAAAGAGGCTGCCGAGCAGCGGCGCAAGCTCTCTGGATATCACGGTGCGTTTGAAAGCTCCGTGCTCTTCCTTGCCGACTGCGAAAAGCGACTACGTCGTTAGTGAAAAGTTGCCTTGCAGTTCTACCTCGTGGTGCTTTCGCATTTTGACGACGCAGCGACGCGCGATGTGAAGTTTTCGAAGCTTCAATTCGGCCCGCTACCGGCTGAGTCTGCGATCTGGCGCTCGCTTCAATCACTTACTCTTATCTAGATCTGATAACTTTTGAGCGACTCTCTTTGATTCCTTCGAGCCAACACAACGAAACTTTCATGCCGGGGAATCGTTCGAACTGAAATCGCGAAAAATATGAAATATTATCAAAAAATATGAAATATTATCGGGAGACGCAAAGAGAGACTTGAAATATTTAAGATGTAAAATCTTTCAGAGAGTGAAAAAGATTTTATAACAAAAGTATTTGAAATCTCTTTTGAAAATGCGAAATATCTTATAGAAAGGAATATCTTTCATTCTTCCTCACGTGGAAAGATTAATCGCTACGCTATAATAAGAAACTCGCGATGTCTGCTTTATAAGAAGAAACTCGATGTCGACGTGCACAGCGACGTCTCTAATAACGGAAAATCGCCGTACGAACAAGAAGGATGGACAGTCGTCGGGTCAATGGCCCGGGCGATGAAGAAGCCCGAAAGATGCCCGGCCGGCCAGCAGCACGCGACGTGAAGTAATGGATAATTTAATGGCTCGCCCCATGGCTTTGGGCGCTCACTTGGGTGAAAGCGCGTCACCAATGGCCGCGGTATACATCGCAAGATGAGACGGTACCGAAGAAAGAGGAACGAGAAGGAGGGGAAAGGGAAGGCGGTGACTGTGGCTGTGGCAGGATCGAAGGGTCGAGGAAGGATGGATTTTCGTAATGCCGACGAGTAACGTCATTCGTTACCGACCAGGATGCGGCGCATCGTCCAATGGCTGGAATTGGAACATCGCCTTGAAGCCTTGGCCTGGCCACTCGGAATTAGCGACGAACTCGACGTAGAGGTCTGGTCCCGTGCTGAGTACCTCCACTTCCGCTCCTTGGTTGCAGAGCACGGCTATTGTGGGCGCCCCTGAATCCGTCCCGTCGTGCACCCTGATTAAATCCGCCCTATTCAGGCAACTGTAACAGGATGCCTTTCGTTAGGAGACGACAACTTATCGCTACATTGCCTTCGACCGCGAGCAGCCCGCTGAAAAACCGAGATATTCGTTTCTAATCTAATTTGCGCTCTTACAGCCGCGGACAAGAGACGGACCCGTCAATCAGATCTGTTTTCAATTAAGCCTACCGAACCTTTTCCGAATCGTCAGCTGGTGTTACTTTGTGGGAGATCTGATACGCCCTTGACATTACACAACGGTGTCAATTGACAAAAGAGTAAATGAATCTAAATTTTGCAGAGGAGGACAAACACAGACAATGACTACGACGATGACGACAATGCATCCGAGCGACGTAAATCAGGCGGGAGATGTATAGGGTGTAGCAGCAACATACAGATCAGTATGACGGGTTGCTTGGCCCTGTTCGGATGATAACGCAGAAGTTACCGAAAAAGTCTCTCGTTGACTTTATTGATAATGATATTTGCAATGTTCCCAGTTACGACAAATAACACAAATAATTACGATCGATTAAGTTGCAACCAATATGTATATTGCGTTTGTAGTCTATTCATACTTTTGCAGAAGCGATATTTGTAGAAACATGGATGAAATACAATATATAAGACTTTTAAATATTTCAATATCGTTCTTCCTAATCTCCAATTTCTATCGAATTTTCCAACGTGAGGAAACAATTAAGAAATTATGCGAAACTAGGAAATATGTTGTATTATTTATCTCTTTAAATATTACTCTTACTTATTCTGCTTTATTCCGTAATATTTATTTCTCAGTTTCATTTTTTAAACATTTTTGCTAATTCAATGAGGCTCGGCTCCCGTCGGTAAATGGTCGATAAACTGTCATAACGAACACGGTGCAAAGTAAGTTGCATTTGTCATAACTGGGAATATGGCAAATATCATTATCAACAAAGTCAACGAGTGACTTTTTTCGGAAACCTCTGCATTATCATCCGAATAGGGGCAAGCAACCCGTCATATTGACCTGTATGTTGCTGTTACACCCTGTACATGCATATTCATATTTCTGCATCAGTCAGCATCTATCAGCATTATTTTAATATTATTCCGGCGGAAAAATCTACCTTTCCTTTTAAGTATTCGCATCTCTCAATGAAATTAATTTATTCAGAAATTACAGTAATTTATTTTCATAAAAGCATTATATGTCTCATTCCTGTGAAAAAAGGAAAAAAAATATGCAGTGGAATATTTTTCGCGTGACTGCTCTATGTCAGTGAAATTGCTTTGTTTTAAATTGCGATAATTTATTTTAACAAAAACGTTCTCATTCCTGCGAAGGATACAACAGTGTAGTGTATTTTTCGCGAGACACTGCTACTACTACTACACACACACACACACTGATGATTTTGGAACACACGCACACATTTGGTGCGAGCGCTGTCACGCCTCTTGATCAGGTTTAATTGTCGCGCGAAGGAGAGAAGAATCTCCTAAACTACTTGACAACGAAGGTATATTAAGTCCGCTTCGAGAGTCGTGACTTGTCTGGAGATAGCGCTGCAAGGAAACGAAAGAATGGAAGACAAAGGAAATGGAAGACAGGACCGAGCGAGACAGTTCAGTAGGGTTAAAGGTGAAACTGTGAAGAGTGTACAGTGACAAAGGATGCGCGTCGGCAGGACGCGCGATGGGCCGGGAGGTAGTGACAGACTAAGGAGAGAATCTCGACGACCGGCGATTTGTTTTATACGTGTACCCGAACTACTCCGCTCGATCGAACCCGAAGAGCATTACACCTCCCGGCGGTACTCCCGGTCATACCAATTGCGCCACTATACTGACGTGATTCACCGTGGTGGTCGATTTCAAAGCTTGACGACGGCCACCGAGATAACTATATTATTCGCACGAGTTAAGCAATTACGCTGGCACAGAAAGATTACCGTCGAAGAGCCGAAGATTGAAGAACCGCTCCTGTCCCGCATATTTTCCCTACACATTCATCAGTGTTGGTCTCTTGACGTTTAAAATATACAGGGTCTCTTGACGTTTAAAATATACAGGGTCTCTTGACGCTTAAAAGGTACAGGGTCTCAGGTATTTCTAGTCATACACGCATTTTTAGATCTAGTCACTCGGGCAATGACTTGATTCTTCAAGAGGATAACAATAATATTTCATATGTAGTTTCTTCTTTTTTTAAAGCTGCGTTTCGAAATAATTCTGATAGTACTGACAGTACTGCTACTGAAACCAGCGTATAGTCGTTCCAAAATCATCAGTAAATGGTCAGCAGTGTGGAAAATGGAACGCATTTGTAATATCATGTAGTGATTGACAGTGATATCTAAATGTAAAAATTGAAAATAAATTTAGAATTATAGCCAATTTAATACTAGTTTTATTTGGTACACAAAGTATCACAAATTTTCTTGAACATAATTTTCAAAGTTCATCAGACGACGAAAAAAATATTTCATATATTTTATACGTTTTATTTTCTTTTTCATCAATTACCGTGTATTTTACTCATGACATGTTTTACACTTCTTATTGTAGGGTGCTGGTGTGAATCTCGTGTATTGCAGCTAAGGAGTAATGTTTGCGAGCATTAAATGGCGTGCGTGGAGTAGTGAGTAGAGGGCGCTCGAAAGAATCGAGAAAGATCGCCCACAGGGAAGTGCTAGATGACATACTTTTCTGAAAAATGTTGTAAGACGATATACGAAGAGTGTGTTCAGTATATTCTCTACCTATTGTACCAATTTAAATTTTGTTAAATATATGTGTTCAACATCAAACACGCTTAGGAGTTATTATTAATTTCTACATTATTTATACAGAGTGTCCAGGATCTTTTGGAAACGAAAAATTGTGAAGATTAATCAGATCAAACTGAGAGAAAAGTCATGTACTTCTATTTTGTAAAAATCACAATAGTTATTAAATTATTAATGATTGAAAGTAACTATACCTAAAGGCTCTTTTAATTGAAAATTTACGTATTTATTTACAAAATGGTAAAGGATTTTTTTATTCAAAATTACTTAATTTACAATTATGACAGTTATTGTAGCTATCGGCAGGGTTAGGATTCAGAGTTCAAAGTTCAATATACTCATATCTATCACTAGACAAAATAGCTACCATAATATAATATAATTGTATAATTGTATAATTATAATATAATTGTAGATTAGGTCATTTGGAGCGAAAAAGTTTTTTATCACTTTGCAATTAAGTACACAAATTTTCAAGTTATCAATTAAAAAGTCCTCTAAATGTGGTCATTTTCAATCATTAGTAACTTAATAACTGCTACCATTTTTGAAAAATAGGGGGAGTACACGATTTACATATTTTCTTAGTTTGATTTGATTAATCTACACAATTTTTTGTTTCCAAAAGATCCCAGATACTCTGTATACGTCTAACATAAATTAACATCCAAATACCATATGCGTTATTGAACTTGCATTAATTCGGGATAATGTGTGAAATTAGCTCGAAGTCAGTAATTCCCTAGAACCTAATTTCGTAAAAAAGGCAATTTACCATCTTGCAATTTACTGGAAATTATATCGGAACGCGAAAACAATACTGTGTTAGCACTGTCTTTTTCTTAACTTACTGCCTTTTTTACGAAATTGGATTCTAGAGAATTACTTCCGGCTAATTCCACACATTATCCCGAGCTAGTAGAAGTTCAGTAATGCATATGGAGCTTGGCTGTTAACTTATGTTAGACTTACACAGAACAATTTTTGCAAAACTCGTGAAGTCATAGAGCGGGTTAAGATAAATGTAAAAGTCCCATACCGTTTTGCGATATTCGCAATAATTATCGAGTTATTAATGACAGAAATCTTAGAAGTAGGAGCGAGGGAAAGAACAATGCGTCGTTATTCGTGTTTTATTTTGTCGCTTCTACGTCTCGCCGCACACTGCCAACAGTTGTTAAATCGACTGGGCCGCGTTGTGACTAAGTAACACAAATTTTACATATTAGCGCGATTCACAATAATGCACATATATACTGACTTAAATTACACATACTACTACATACTATTTCATAGTTGAACGGATGAAAGAAATTTGAACCTAAGCGCCTACGACGCTTCTCCGATCATCCATCTCGGCACACGCTGACTCGTCAGATTTCTGTCATAAATATGTCGATAATTATTGTAAATATGGCAAAACGGTATAGGATCTTTATGCTTGTCTTAAACCGCTTTGTGTCTTCACGAGCTCTGTAAAAATTGTTCTGGGATACTCTGTACTGTTAGAACTGTCAGCGCATTTCGGAATGCAGACCATATGTAATTTTATGTTTTACGCTACAAATTTTATGGTTTACGCTGATTTGTCTGAATATTATGTAAAATGTTGTTGCTGTTTATTGAACTGTTGTGTATAACTGAAAATCTCTACATGGTAAAAAATATTTCAATTCATGTAACTGAATAAACTAGACGAGAATTCGGTGATGAAAAATGACATCTTTGTTATGGCAACCGAAAAAAAGTTCGCCTGAACTCGTTATAATTCGTTATAATTCGAAATAACTGGAAACAGTTGATTGATTCGAAATCTTTTACTGGAATCTGTTCTTACAATCGAGTTTCCCATTTGGTCTCTATTTTTTTCTAGGCAACGGAAAATTTAGTTACACTAATGGAATTGTTTTTTCTTCATGTAATGACCCTGTATTTAATAAGCGTCAAGAGATCAACACTGGCCAATACGATACTTACGATATCTTGCTAACTATTTGTCGGAAGGAAAAATAACACTAGACTTTTTTTATTCTATTTCGTCTGAAGATTATGTTATTATAATAGTGCCTTAACTTTTGTTAACTTATCGACTTTTGGAAATTTCAAAATCATTAAATTAACAAAAGTCAAGACGCTATTGTAACAATATATTCCAGATACTAAATAGAGTAAAAAAATCCAATACCACTTTTACTTCCGACAAATAGCGAGATATCGTAAGTTAAATGAAATTAAAACAGTAAACAAGTTTTCCTTAAATATCTCAACAAATATTAGGTAAATAAAAAAATGTTACAAACAAAAGTTGTTCAAATTAATTGGTAGAAAAAGATGACATAATGAAAATTGAGATTTCTATTTAAGAAAAGTAATGATCAGCGAATATTTCGAAAGTGACGCCATCTGTAAACAAAATTATGATATATAGTTGTTTTATGTACCCCTTGAAACCATACAACTTTGATCTGAAACCTTTTTTCTAAAATGCTTAGTTTTCAAAATATTTCGCCGTCCCGGTACTTTTTACACCCTATATAATAGAAGCTGAAGTGACAGTATACGATGTAAATATCGGCTCAATTATATTCGTATTTAATAAGTAAGAATGTAATAAAGATATTTGTGTTTTTTTCCGATTCCTCCGTTGCAATTGTGACATCGGCATGTATTATCTTCGGCAACTCATGTGTCACTTTGGCTCCTGTTATATATTATCGTGCAAACTCGTGGCTCGCAATCGAAATCATTTGACATGATTCTCACTTCATCGGAAAGAATCCAAACCCTTTAGTAAACGAGCGTACATAGAATTTCAAAACGGTTTCAACACTTTTTGAGTGCAGTTCGGAACGCAGTCGACGATGCAATGAGAAAACTTGTTCCTGAAAAATTCCCAGAAGTTCAGGGGATGCCATATTTGAGAACTTTATCGACAGGACACTGACTTTTTCTGCAAAGTTTATATCGTACTGGTTGCACAGAAATATGTATTTACACAATAAAAGTACGTGCAAATATGTGAATTGGAGCTTTGCTAAATATCCAATGAAAATGATAAAAAATTGCGAAATTGACATTTCGAGCTGCCAGTTAGTCCACATATTTGCCTGATGCAAAAATACTGCTGTTTGTACATACCAACAGTGTAGTTGTTCTGTTGAGGAAAATTTCCAGAACATTGTTATATTTTTACAACTGAATCTATAGGCATGAAAATATATACGAAAAGTTTGCAGAAAAAATTTTACACATGTATAATTATTTTCTGCTGAGTTTTTCGCTAAATTATTTCCCGCTAAATGTGATAAAACGAAGCAGTACACATCTATATGTACGAGAGATACGAAAAGAGTAAGTTGATTATATGTGCGTGTGTGTTAGTGCTTATCTAAGGTAAGAAAAGAGAGTACGGAATAGATGGGCATAGTTTTTTTTTAGTTGGAAATAATACATCTGTATTATTGCAATAAATAATCAACAACATATTAACACACTCAGTAGAAGATAATGTTTAAGGTACAGAAGAATTTTTGTGACAAAAAATTCATGGGACGCCAATAATAACGAAATATTAAAAATATTCTGTGAGGGATAGATGGTCAGGTGTCCAGGTTAGGTGGTCATTTATGAAGGGATAGTTGGACATACCTATAATAACATAGAAATTTGTTTATCGTTATTTATTTTTTTTAATATTTTACATCCTTTTATTAATTATTAATATTGTTCATTAAAGAGAGAAAAGAGAAAAATCAATTCGGCATCTTTAAACGAAACAAAAAGCAGTTTAAAAAGTAGTTTTAAATAGAAGTTTTTAACGTTAGGTGCTCAGGGAAAAATGATAGTCGAATAGATATCAAATCGACGTCTTTTATACGTCTAAAGCAGGGGTTCCCAACCGGAAGTGCTGGGGGTGTGAAAAAGCATTCTTGGGGGTGCGAGGAAAAGTGATTGTAATTAATAATAATTAAGATGAATTCTGGAATAATCCGGCATTTTTATCATCAAATTTAAAAAAATGTTATTAAAATTATATTATTTTTATTATTATAAAATTATATATTTTATATTATTAAAAATTGGATATCTTTATTGATTTTTAATTTCTTACCTGAAAACCCTACCAACTAATTTTTACCATAAAACATACGAATAATTTTTTTGTAGGGGATGTGAAGATTCATTAATAAATTTTTAGGGGTGCGAAATACAAAAAGGTTGGGAAACTCTGGTATAAAGCACCTAGAAAACGTTGATCCGATGTCCATTGCTATTTCTCGCTGAGTAGGCTACCCATCTAACCCTGATAAAAATGACCCATCTATCCCGTTTGGAGAGTTCGCATAAAGATGCGTATATCGCGTGAAATATAGTCTCGGTGGTGAATTTGAAGGCTAAGTAAGCAAATATGTTTCTTAGCCATTTAAGTCAAGGTCTAATGTTGAAAAAAATAAATCGTATTCGCAAGATATTTTTCCGACGTGTGAAATATTTTGGAGGTTAATAGAAACATAAAACATTTATTTACTCACAATAATAGTGTTTTTGTGCATCAGGAAGAGACACACCTACTCGTGGTACATCCAACTCACAACTGATCGATCAGCGCTGACGCCTAGCATATATTGACAAAATTATAGTAATTCACCATCTATCCCCTACGCCCATCTATTCCGGATTTACTCTAATTTAATGTTTGGACGATCGTCTTTACATGATCAACGCTCTTGGAGTTCCATTCTGGGATTTCTTTAAATTCTCTCATTGGACATCTGCTGCATCCTGAACTGCATCCGGCGAAAATGTTCAAACCATTTTGAAACCCAACGTGCTTCTTGTTCACTAACTCACACGCACGCGAGCTTCGATCTGGCTAGCGCGTGCATACGACGCGACGCTTCGTCGACTCGTGTGCCTCGTATCGACAGGATATTTCGTATCCGGCCGGAATAGGAGCGCGAGATTATTTCCGATACGCTGGCGAATTTGGATGAATATACGTCCACGGGCGAACGCAAATCAAATCCGCACCGGAGAGTCAGGTCGGAAAGTTTAACTGAGAAGTTAGTGGCTCGCGCGCGTAACTCAGCTCAACGCGGAAGTAAGAAAATCCGCCTATCAAAGTTAATCTAGCGTAACATCGAACGCTCGAGAGTGTACACGAAATTCTTCAAGTGTCCAACAAGATTTACCCCGGGCCATCGCCGGTACATCAGTTCGCTCTCGTTGATTTTACACTCGTAGCCTATCCATTGTTTCTCAATGGTTGTTCCGTGAATACCGTTTAGAGTGCCGTTAGCTTTGAAAATTCGAAGTGTGCGAGAAGTATCGAGCACTCCGGCAATGAGCCGGTGAGGAAAGAGGGTAGGAGGAATCGTTACTGCTTTCTATTATCCTCCGATGCGAGTTATCGACAGTAGAGTGGAATTGCTCATATTCGATACGCGTCTGTCTATATCTTGTCTCTACAGAAAGGTATTATTGATACTGTCGATACTAGCGATAACGTTTCTCCTAACTTTGCCATTGGCGGCGTGCATGCGCAGTTGCGTCGAACTGGAACAAAAGTGTATCGAGTGCTCGACGGATGAGTCTCTCGGTATCCATCAACACCATCCGCGATAATATCCGAGTGCGTCTGACGGAGCGGCTTAACGTTGATATATGAAGGTATTTCTCAGCTCTCGCCCGGGCCCTTACAGATTTTTACCACCGGTCTTGGCGGAAGAGTACCATCGGCCACGACATAAATTAACGTTATCGATCGTAGATTTATCGAGAGTATTTCGCGTATCGCCTCTCACAGTTCGGCCTGCCTGCCTATCTGCCTGCTAGTTCGCACCTGCCTGCCCCTATTTGCTCCTCTATCTGCCTTTTCTCCTTGCGCCAGATTTACGCACGCTGTGATTATAGTTTTAAATATATTATTTCATGGAACACCTCTCCCCCTCCTTCTAGATTGGCGATTCATGAAAAATAAAAAGCAAACTAAATGCGGAGCGCGACCCATCTGGCTATTCTGCCAATGCGAGATAAAATATTTCTCCCCCGAGTTACGCTGTATATTCATTATCGTATTATCGATTTCTCGTTTGCTGAAAAATTATTAACGACACGTAAAGTTTTGATAAATGAACTTAAATGAGAATTGAGATATACATACATATATATACAGGATATTCATTTAATTTAATAATTTCGAAATTTCCAAAGATCGATAAGTTAACAAAAGTTAGGGCACTATTATAGTAATATATTTTTAATAGCAAATAAAGTAAAACAGTCTAATACTATTTTTTCTTTCGACGAATAGTTAGCGAGATATCGTAAGTTAAATGTTGAAAAAGTTACCAAATTTTCTGTAAATATTTTAAAAAGTATTAGGCAAATAAAAAAATGTTTCAGACAAAAGTTGTTAAAATTAATTGGAAAAAGAAGATATAATAAAAAGTTGGGCTTTCTATTTTAAAAAATTAAGTTGACCTTCGACTGACCTTGAAAATGCCCTCCAAATAAAAAACTGGTAATGCCATTCTCTTTCCCCTTCGAAATCATGGAACACGTGTTTTAGCTTTTTTTAATATCTTTCATAGTTTTCGAGATAATTAGCTGGAAAGTTTTCAAATGAACACCCTGCATACAGAGTGTATGAAAAGTATCGAAACTCCTTAATATCTCGGAAAATACGTATTTTAGAAAAAAATATTTCAAGAATATGTAATGAAAAATAAGAGGTTCTAATTAAGAAATTTAATGTGACCTTCACGTGACCTTGACAACGCTATTAAAGATCATAATAATATTGCCATGTAATGCGCCTTATAAAACCCCACTAACTTTCTATGAAACACTTTTCTAAAATGCGTATTTTCCGAGATATTAAGGGGTTTCGATACTTTTCGTATACCCTATATATGTACGTATGTATATTACAACATTCGGAAATATTTTATATACAGGGTAGGGGGTTATAAGTTTACAACCCGAAGTGTGAAGGTAGATTAGGTTAAGACAAACATAAAAGTTCCATACCGTTTTGTGAGATTCGCAATAATTATCGAGTTATTAATGACAGAAATCTGAGGAATGGGAGCGCGCCGCATAGATGATTGGAGAAGCGTTGCAGCTACTCAGGCCACAGCGCGACCCAGCAACTGTTGGCGGCGTGCGGCGAGACGTAGGTCCGGCGAGATAAAACAACGAATAGTGGCATTGTCTTTCCTCTCGCCGCGCACCGGCAACAGTTGCTGGATCGACTGAGCCGTGCTGCGGCCTAAGCAGCTGCAACGCTTCTCCAATCATCTATGCCGGCGCGCTCCCACTCCTCAGATTTCTGTCACTAATAACTCGATAATTATTGCGAATCTCGCAAAACGGTATGGGACTTTTATGTTTGTCTTAACCCAATCTACCTTCACACTTCGGGTTGTAAACTTATAACCCCCACCCTGTATACAGAAATACTAAGAAGAGCAGTGGATCAGTTAACATACAGAATTCATCTGCACTGTCGAGTCCAAGGTTAAAATTTTAAACAATTATTAATAAAGAATAGAAATACCAGATATACTTTTAAACTTCATTTTACTATGTTTGTGACTTTGACTAATCTTGAATGTACTATGTGACTAATCTTTATGTAATATATCATTGAATTTATCTTAAAAACGGCTATCTTATACTAAAATAAAAAATTTCATAAAAAATGAAATTGACCCTGAAATGTCAATATAAAATAATTATTTCCACTGTATGACGTCTCTGTTTGTATTAAACAAGTTGACACGAATTATTTTTTCATGTTTTCACAAATTTCGCTAATAATTAAATTAATAATTTTATAGGATTCACCCTGTATATATGTATTAATTTTTATTTAAATTCATTTATTAAAGCTTTACGCGTCGCTAATTATCTTTTAGCAATCAAGAAATCGACAACATAATAATAAATGTGTAAACAGGGTGTCCGGGATCTTTTGAAAACGAAAAATTGTGAAGATTAATCAGATCGAATTGAGGAGAAAAACACATACTATTTTGCAAAAGTCGCAATAATTATTAAGTTATTACTTATTGAAAATGAAGCTTTTTTAATTGATAACTTGAAAATTTGCGTACTTATTTGCAAAATGGTAAAGAATTTTTTTACTCAGAATAATCTAATCTACAATTATATGGAGGCTATTGTGCCTAGCGACAAGTTCAGGATGCAAGGTTCAAAGTTCAATATACTCATATCCATCGCTAGACATAATAGCCATTATATACAATTGTAGACTAGGTCATTCTGAAGAAAAACTCTTTTATCATTTTGCAAATGAGTAGGCAAATTTTCAAGTTATCAATTAAAAAAATCTCTAGATGTGATAATATTTAATCATTAATAATTTCATTTAATTTAAATTAAATTAAATTAAATTTAATAATTTAATAACTATGCGATTTTTGCAAATTGGTTACAACATGACTTTTCTCAGTTTGATCCAATTAGTCTTCACAATTTTTTATCTCTAAAGGATCCTGGACATTCTGTATATTTTTTGCCCAAAAAGTACTCGGAATCAGGCAATAAAACATAAAATGTTCAATTATTCAGGTAAATTTATTTTGTCTCCTTCAAAATAGTTCCCATTTTGTGCAACATACATATGCCAACGCTTAATTTAATTTTCAAAATATTTTTCAGAAGCTGATTTTGGTGTGGCCTTAAGTTCCTTCAGCAAATTCTCTTTTACATACTGCCTTAAAAGCTTATCACTTACCACGAAGTGGTAATTTGAGTTTTGGGAAGAGAAAAACGTCACAGAGTGCCATATCTGACGAGTACGGTGCTTGCGGAATAATGTTAGTCGAGTATTTGGCCAAATAGTCACGTACGAGAAATGATGTATGCGATGGTGTATTATCGTGATGCAAAATCCATGATGTTGTCTTCGGTCAAAATGGTGTAGACAGAGCCATTTGTTATATTAAGCTCGGCAACAATCTCTCTTTCACTCACATAGCGATTTTCAAGCATTAATTTATTCACTCTTTTAACGTTTTCGTCGGTATTTGATGTGGATGGGCGACTAAAACGAGGTAAGTCTTCGACGGCTGTGCGACCTTCTTTGAACAATTTATACTACTTATATGCCTATGTTTTTGAAATATAATTATCACCATATACTTTTTGTAGCATTTTCAACGCGTCGACACAAGAAATGTCATTGAAAACACAAAATTTAAGGCAAACTCTTTGCTTCATACTATTCGACATCGCAAAAATCGCAGATAGCATCTGAAGTCGACTGACATAAACAGCTGCCACGAACAATGTTCAAAAACTTATTTCAGAAATTCGGTAAGATCGAACAATTAATCGAATCGCAGAATCATATTTTTTGAACACGATATGAATATCTTTTATATAACTATAACAAGTCTGTTTCGAGGCAACGCTAGGCGAATGTCAAACGCGAGGCGAATATCAATTTTCTTGTTTTCAGGAATTCATTCCTTCTCCGAGCCCGGACAATATTACATATATATTTAGAATCAGAATTAAAGATAAAGGTGTGAAGTTTTACAAAACAAGGTAACATTTTGAAAATTTCATAACGATACTCCCACGATGGGAGAGACGATAAAACGATTTTAGTTACGAAAACTGCCCACGAAGGGTGAAAAGATATTTAATTATCTTTTAACATATCGAATATCTCATGATGAGAGAAAACTTTGTTTATTACATAATTGAAAATTCCTCTTATTCGAAGTCCTACGATAGGAGAGGAGAAAGTTGTTCCTTTCAAAATGAATATATTCATCAGAAGGACTATTTATTAATTCTTTTCTTAATTTCAGATCTTAATCCAAATCTAGAACTTGACCAAGACATAGAAAGATTCTATTCATCCCTAATTCCTGGATTCCTAGACTATCCAGACTGAATTTGAGAGACTTCTCTTATAGCTGAACCCATCATAAAATTGAAAAGGATCTACTATTTCATCGGATGATATCAAGACCTTATAATTCAGATAAATATTAATTTTTTCTATTATTATTAATTATAAGAGTAACTCTATTTTGTTTTAGTTTAATACTGTTTCTTCTTATTGAGTTCGTTTTTTTTATTTTTCCAATTTTAAAGAATTAAAAGAATTAAAGTTTTTCTAAAAGCGTGAACCAGAGAGATTTAATTTAAAACAAACAAACTAATTAATAGATATCACCTCTAATTCTGTATGGAAGTTAAATACAGTGACACCAACTTAACTACAAAAGGATTTTGAAATATTATAAATGCGCGTCATTTAAATGAGCAGTTCCAGGTATTTTTTTAGCAGGAGGCTTGAAACGACGCATAATGATTGATTTTCCATACGAGCACGGACTATGAAACAATGAACATTTACACGGATTGATGACATTTGCTCAGGTTCGCGTATTTTCCTGCGGTTGGATACTACGACTGCGACATTCATCCACCACAATCTCGCATTACCTCGTATAAATATGTCAGCGTAGAGTTAATATTTCATTCGTTTAGCCCAGTTACACGAATGGCGTTGCCATCACCGCTACTTCCATATGCCGTAACCATCGATAGAAAAAATATAAATGTCTCCGGTTAATTTTTTATATAATATCAGACGTGACGAAAGATATATCGTCGTTATCTACGCGAAAGATAGCCGAGTTTCTTTACATCTTTGTCGCAGCTGCGCGTTTCAATATGAGGATTGATCGGAACGTAAGTACATATCCGGAATGCGTGCGGATAATTGATACGCTACTGCGTGAGTTGACAGTCACAAATTTTCTCCTTCGTGGAGGGTAGTGGCTGATTATCGCTCCGCATTAGCGCTGAATTTGTGGTTTGTGAACCACTATGCTACGAAGCTATAGCCTGATAGAACGCGCGAAACAGAATATAGAGTGAAGTTTAAATGAGGTTCAGTAGCCGTTGACATTCAGGCAACTAAAAAACAGCCGCGAAATATAAAGCAGGCTTAAAAAATTGAAGCGACCGCGCATACTCACAAACACGTGTTCTCTTATTTATAGCATGTTAAAAAAGAGTTTTTTCATCGTGCGACAATTTCTCTAAGCGCACGTGTCTCGCACATACACACACACACACACAAATATAGGGATACCAATTATATATAATATCAGTGTTTACACAGGAAGAAAAAGAGGAAGGAGAGAGAGAGAGAGAGAGAGAGAGAGAGAGAGAGAGAGAGAGAGAGAGAGAGAGAGAGAGAGAGCCCGGAGCAGAGATTTGACGCGGCACAAACGGCACAAAATATTCCCGAAATATTTTAGCCGAAGACATGCGGCAGCTAAAGCGGATTACCCACACAATGATATTTCTCTTCCATTTTCAGCTGCGTTGTTTCATACTTGCGTAATAACGTAATGCGATTTGAAAATTGCTTATTATTCCGTATCACGTTGCGCCTGCTTCGAAAATTATATTTGGTCCCGCATTATTCGAGAACTGACCCCCTCGCCCTTCTCCAGCCCTCCTCACCCCTTTCATCCCTCGCAGCCGTTCGCGCAATTTTCTAATTTCGTTCGGCTAATTTTCGCTCCGGCGTCAGGGGGAAAAAATATCCGTCGAGATGATTTTCGACGTGGAGGAATCTGTGTCGACGAATTATCGCGAAACGATCGAGCAACTTGAGCGGAGGTGGAGGGGAAACTCAATTTGACGGAGCGACGAACGTCAAGATTTCTCTTGGTTGCGCCAGTCGCGACATTATTTCTCGTGTGCTTCAGCATTTTTCCCGTAAAAGCACGCGCTTTTCAATCGGCGGATCGTCGATTCTGATTTCGCGGTGTTCGAGGTTAAAAGGTCACTGACGGAATGAAATTAAGGGAGCTCAATACTGAATTAGGACGGAGTTGGAGGATTTATCAAGGATTAACTCCTGCACGCTGCAACTGCAGGTCCCCGGGCGCCTCTCGTTTCCCAAGTCGACCTCGCCATCACCATTCTCAGCTCTAAGTCTTCGCGCAGAGAGGAACTTTATGTGGGTTAAGTAGAATCATGGTCCGCGCCATGCTCAAAGGATTTAGGGGTCAGGTGTAGCCGACACTACGGGATTTAAAAAGAGGATTCCCCAGCGCGTAAAGGTACGCCATCGCCGTACCGGCCGGGATCGTATCGCGGCCGAGATAATTACGATCAGCGGCGAAATTCGTGCGTTAAATACGTACAGCTCCGGCCGCCGCCGTCTTTGCCGCCGCCGATCCGCCTTAAATCTTTAACAAAGACCGATAGGAGCGTATAGCGGGGCGGAATTCATCGTAAATATCCCGGCTAAAGGTATTCGCCCGTTGCGCAGCAGCGGAGAATATGAAGTTTTCTGTGCTACAAATAAGAAACACGGCGGTGGCAGGGAGGGTGGAAGGGGGAGTAGATCTCGCGACGTGAAATACGCCCGGTGCGAGATATATAGGACCTGTTCGGCAAGATATTCCACGCGTACTTTTCAGCGCGTACGCTGATCGCCGAGAGCTTCCCTCGTCGCGCGTTCTAACCTAAATGGCGCACTAACCGAGGCAAATCGAGGGAGAAGATTCGGCGCGCGCATACGTGCGCGAGGGGGGGCAGCGTGGTCTTGCGAGCGGACAGCTTGAAGGAAGATCTCGCAGTCAAGCTCTCTCAGTATTACTGCCTGGCAGATTTATGTCAGTAATATCTGAAGCATTAGTCGTTTGACGTATTGGCGATCGTAAAATTTGGAGTCACGCGCACCAATGGGAGGACGGCGGGAGGGGGCTATCTCTCATTCATGGACTGATAATACATCAGATTCCGCGTCCCTTCCGGCGCACGTGGCGGCCTCTTCTCCGTTCCTCTTCTCCCCTCCTCGTGCGATTTGCATGCCATACGCGGAACACACCGGCGGAATCGCTCGCGCGTATTCTAACACTGTGGAGCGCGTGCGCATGCGCGATCGCCGGCCGCGCGCAGTATCTTCGATTCTCACGAACGCTCGTGACGAGATATATCCAACAATGGCGATTATTCTCGGCACGCACGTGGAGCGCTCGTAAAACGTACAAAGTACGTACAGCGTTCAAATTACAACGGACTACGTTTGTGTCGATCGATCGCTCGCTCGTTCGCTTGTTCGTCGTGAAAAACACCGGTTCCGCGACAAACTTCCTCCCCTTCGGTCTCCCCTTCCTCTTTGATTCCCGTTGTTTGCTTTGTCTCCGAATATCGCCACATTATTTTCACAGGTTTCAAGAGGCACGGTAGTGCCTCGCGTCAAGTTCAAGTGCAACGAAGTTGCGCCCGAAAGACGCGAGGCATACCGTGACTATATTACGAGAAACTGCGAGTTGAAACGAGGTGAGATATTCATATCTTAGTAATGGCTAAACCGATCGAGGTTTTTCCAGTACCAATCGATTCGGCTTTAAAAAATAGGAAGAAAAGTGTCCTTGTGTTTTTTGTGTGCGTTGTCTCTAAATGTAGATATTTTAAAATAAAGTCCAAATCACGAAAAATTTCGATTCAGTAAGAAAGTAAGAAACGCTAGACCACAGAGGAGAGGGGATTTGTGCATTTCACTTTTGTGACACCAGAGGCGTTACAAGCGCGCTGAAGAAGCAGCGAGTGCGAGTGAGCAAGCGATAGAGAGTAAAAGAGAGAAGAATATTGCTAGAATACAGGAGTAGAAATGTGCGAGAAAGAGAAAGAGAGCGAGAATGAGAGAGAGAGAGAGAGAGAGAGAGAGAGAGAGAGAGAGAGAGGGAAGCCAAGACTTTTTGCATTAAATATTTTTTATTACATCGTTATAATAACTAATTTATTATAACAAACAAGTGAAATAACCATAAAACTCAGTGTTCTAGTAAATAATGAAGACACTGTTTTTGAAGTACCGGACTGTGTATCATTCGGAGTTTTCAATACATTTATCTTCAGATTGCAAATCGCTCTCATTTGCAGAGTTGAGTAGAGTTTTTCAGTTGACGCTATTGTTTTGTTATATCATTTTTTTGTAGAACAGTTTTGTAGAGTTTTATTTATAGTATTCACTAGAAGAATTTATTGTTAAAGATATAAGTTTTATTTGTACAAACTTATTACTTGTATAACGAAAATAACAAATTACATTGCCCAAAGATACACGTTCAGGTGCGGTACGATGCACAGTACTAAAAGCGTAAACATTGCCGTTTATATCATTTCTTTTGTAAAGTAGATTTTATTATAGTTATAAATTTTACTTGTAAAATTTTACGTTACATATATAACTTGAAAAAAAATAATTTGAAATTTCTAAAAATAACATAATACGTATTGCGCGTGTACTTCGCGCCTCTTTTTACCTTTTTGTTTAAAAAGGTATGTTTTATACAACGTTACGGGTTCTCTAAGACGCGTCCTAGAGGGACAAGGTCGCGCGACTTTGGAAACAACATGTACATAAGTACGTAATTGACGCGACCGTTTCCATTATTGTTTACGCCGCGGCGGCGAACGGATCGGCGGATCGCCGCGCGTAATAATTTCCGAATTTTCACGCTCGATCAGTGTAACGTGTAATATTCGTGCGTGTGCGTGCGTGCGTGTGTGTGTGTGTGTGTGTGTGTGTGTGTGTGTGTGCGTGACGATCCGAAATATCTTGAGCAATAGCAGTATTTCATCTTTCTTTAAAGGTAAACTTTTATTGGTTAACTTGGTTAAGTTGAAGAAGCTAATTTGTAGTCTCGAGTCTTCGTACTCTTGATGCGGGGCGCATTTGTCGTTGTAATACTAATGAGGAAACTCGTTTTTTGTTACAGATCTGCTGGAGTTTGCAGTCACGCGATAGTTGCGATTATCGGGACGCAGTTTCGACGGACGCCGATGCCGCACCGGAGGATCCGGTTCGGGCCGAGCAGAGTCGGCTTGAAGGTGAGGTTCACCGATCGCTTGTATATTTCTTCTTGATTTATTACGATCGAAAACCGAGCGATTGA